GAAAATTCTGTTTCAAAAAAATTAATTCTACAGAATTGTTAGTTAAAAGTACGAAAAATAATAATTTAATTCTACGAGAAATTAATTATTTAAATACAAAAATAAATAATATTGAATGTTTCTTAAAATTTAATTTTTACGAAGAATTGTATTAACAACTTTTGAAAATTTTAATTTCTGTTTAAGGAATTTAATTAAAATTTTAATGAAATTTATTATATTAAAGAATTTTATAACAATTTTTGAAAATAATTGAAAACTTTTTGAAGAATTTTATTAAATTTTTTAAAAATAATTGAATTTCTGAGAAGAATTTAAATAATAATTTTTGAAAACAATTGAATTTGTGAGAAGAATTTTATTAAAATTTTTCAAAATAATTGACTTCTTGAGAAGAATTTTCAAAAAAATTTTGACAATAATTTAATTCTTGAGATGAATTGCCCTATCTGTTTATAAAGATAATTTAATTCTTAACGAGAATTGTTTAAAAAATTTGAAAATAATTTAATTTCTGCAAAGTATTTAATTACTTTTCAAAAGAATTGAATTCTTGTGATGAATATTGATATTTATCAAAATAATTGAATTTTGGAAAAGAATTTTATTAAAATTCCTTAGAATAATTGATTTTATCGAAAGAATTTATACGATTTTGTTGTTTATCAAGCTAATTTGGATTCTTTTGCAAAATTTCTTAAAAATTTTTTGAAAATAATTGATTTTCTGCGACGAATTAAATGTTATTTATGAAAATATTTGAATTATTGCAACGAAATTTATAATTTTATTGAATAATATTGAATGTTTCTTAAAATTGAATTCTTTCCTCAAGTTTTAATAAAATTTTTAATAATAATTGCATTTTTAAAAGAAATTTTCTTAAAATTGTATTAAAAATATTTGAAATTGTGCGATGAAAATAATTGAATTCGTAAGTGAAATTTTATTATTTATGAAAATAATTGAATCTTTTATTGTATCAGAAAGTTTTTTCTATAATTAAATCTGTTGATAAATTTTATGAAAATAGTAAATATTGACAATTATTATTGAATTGCCAAAAACTTTTGAAAGTAATTGAACTTTTACAAAGATTTTTATAAATTTTTTCTAAAATAATTGAATTTTCAGCGAAAAATTTTGCTATTTGTAAAGATAATTGAATTCTTGACGAGATATTTGTGAAAATTTTTAAAAATAATAATTGAATTTCTTCGAAGAATTTCATTACTTTTGAAAATAATTGAATTCTTGGGATGAATATTATTTAACTTATGAAAATAATTGAATTTTGTAAAGAATTTTATAAAAATTCCTAAAAATTATTGAATTTCTGTGAAGAATTTTGTTATTTATCAAAATAATTGCATTACAACTTTTGTAATAATTAAATAATATAAAAAAATTCATGACTCAATTTTACTAAGCAATTAGTGAAGCTTTACTAACAATATTAGTAAAATTTCACTATTTGTTTGTAAAATTATTACTAAATCATTTGGTGGACGATTTTTCGTCATTTCATATTATTAACTTTCAAGTTCAACTAATTCAGATTTAGAGAGCAGAAAGGCTGAGGATTAGAAAGAAATATCAGAAACGTTTCGTGAAAGGAAGGGTTGTAAATTAATTTAAGAGAAGAGAGAGAGAGAAAATTAGTACAACGCAAGGATTTTGCGGTTGATTATGCGGAATATTTAAACATCTCACGGTGGTCCATAATGTTTCGTTAGATGTATGCTGCGGGGAAGGGGAAGATGCTGCGGGGTTTTATGAAAAACGGAGGACAGATACGCGGACCGGAGACGGGACAGCGTGACGGCTCCTGGCAGGCGCACCGACAGACAGATAAACAGACAGACGGACAGACAGAAGGGTGTATATAGGCACACGTGCTGGATGAACGTTATGCTATGCCAACCACATATGCTGGAGACATATAAGCGGTCCCGGCAAGCTAATCATAGCTCTTTGCCTGACAACCTGTCTCCTCCGATTTTCTGCTTAGCTGTCGGCGACGTCCTCTGAATTCACTCCTCTCTTTTATGCAAGATGTAACGCTACTTATGTATACCCGCAAGTACAAATACTGACATAATAGCTGATAACTTTGCCAGCGAGTTTTCATTATATTGCCCCACACTCTATATTTTCCCTTCAACAATATTCCAAAATTTAAAGTCTCAATACTACTTCTCCAAAGTTCTACGCATCTAACAATTTTTCTCTATTCCTTAAATTTCAATTTTACCCCCCAGACAATTATTTCCAAAAAATTCATTCCGCTATTTTTTATTTCTTCATTTAAATTCTAAAACTATATACTTTATTTAAGTGCTTATTTTATAAATAATAAACTTTTTCTTAGGAATTCATAATTGTTTTTTAAAAATTTTAATAAAATTCTTCGCAAAAATTCAATTATTTTCATAAATAACAAAATTTCCCCCAGTAATTCAATTATATTCCAAAATAAATAATTTTGAAATGAATTCCATTTTTTTGAAAACAATATTAATTAAATTCTTGGCAGGAATTCAATTATTTTCATAAATAATAAAATTCTACAGACACATTCAATTATTTTCAGAAAAATTTTGATAAAATTCTTCAAAACAATTAAATTATTTTTATCAATAATAAACTTCTTATTCTTAGGTATTAATAATTATTTATTCAAAAGTTTTAATAAAATTCTTCAAAAAAATTCAATTATTTTTATAAATCCAATTTTAATAATAAAATTCGTCAAAAGAATTTAAAAATTTTTAAACGTTTTATTAGAATTCTGCACAAAAATTTAATTAATTTTATAAAAATAATATAATTCTTGACAAAAATTTAATTATTTTTAAAAATTTTAAACTTTTTCGCAAGATGTAAATTAGTTATTTTAAATAATAAAATGCTTCTGAAAAATGTAATAAAAATTCTTCGCAGAAATTCGATTATTTTTAATACAATTTTACAGAAAAATTCAATTATTTTTAAAAAATATTAACAAAATTCTTCGTTGGAATTCAATTATTTTCATAAGTTAGAAAATTCTTCGCAGGATTTCAATTATTTTCATAACAAAATTTCTCGCAAGATTCAATTATTTTTAAAAATGTATTAAAAATTCTCCTCAGAAATTAAATTATTTTCATAAATAATATAAAGTTCTTTAACTTAATTCAATTATTTTGTCAGCTACTAAGGAATTCAATATTATTTTCAGTGCAAATTTAATAAAAATTTTCGAAAAAATTAAATTATTTCTAAAAAAATTTAATAAAATTCAATAATCAAATTTTTAATTACAATTATTAGCAAATACAATTATTTGAAAAACTTGAAAGAAATTCTTCTGGATAATCAATTACTTTTAAAATTATCAATTAAATTATTAAAAAAAATAAAAAATATATTTACAAAAAATTTCTAAAAAAATTCTTCAAAAAAGAATTTAATTATTTTCGAAAACTGCCATAAAATTCGTCTCAAGAATTCATTTTTCTTTATCAATTTTAAAAAAATTGAAAGAACTTCTTCAGAACAATTCAATTATTTTCAAAAATTTTATTAAATTCTTCGCAAGAATTCAATTACTTTTATAACTATAATAAATTTCTTCTAAAGTATTGAATTTTTCTAAAAAATGTTAATAAAATTTATCAAAAGGATTTAATTGTTTAAAAAATTTTTGAAAACATTTTCAAAAATTTTATTAAAATTCTCAACAAGAATTTAATTATTTTCATAAATAACAAAATTCTTCGCAGGAATTTAATCGAAAGAAATTCTTTTTGGTATACAATAATTACATTCAAAATTTTCAATTAAATTATTAAAAAAAATCTACATTTTTAAAAAAATTATAAATAAATTCTTCAAAAGAGTCTAATTATTTTCGAAAACTATAATAAAATTCTTCTCAAGAATTCAATTATTTTTAAAAATTTCATTAAAAACCTTCGTATAAGAATTCAATTATATAAATAAAATATATAATTTTTATTAATTTTTTATTTTATTCAAAAGAATTTAATTATTTTCAAAAACTGTAATAAAATTCTTGACAAGAATATAAATATTTTTAAAAATACTAAAATTCTTAACAAGAATTCTATTATTATTCAAACTATTATTTAATTACAGAATTGTCAATTGAAAGTCTGCAAAATTCAGATTTTCAAAAATTTTAATTTGAAATCTTTTCAAAATTCAATTATTTCTAAAAATTCATACTTTAATGCTTTTAATATTGAATTATTATCTGAAATTTTAACTAAAATTCATTTTAAATCAATATTTATTTCAAAATTCTACGAGAATTCAATTATTTAAATGTAAAAATACATAATTTATTGAATAATTGAACGTTTCTTGAAATTTAACTTTTATAAAGAATTTTATTAACAAATTTTTAAATAATTGATTTTTTCGAGGAATTGAAATTAAATATTACATTTTTTGTGCAATTCCTATAAAATTGTATTGCAAATTTAAGAATAATTGAAATTCTGCGATGAGTTTTATTATTTATGAAAATAATTGAATATTCCTAAAAAGAATTTTATTATTTACGGAAAATAATTGAATATTCCTAAAAAGAATTTTATTATTTATGAAAATAATGGAATTATTGCGAAGAAATTTAATGCAAAATTTGTAAATAATTGAAATCCAGTGGAATCTTTATTATATTTATGAAAATAATTAAATGTTAACGTAGAATGTTATGAAAAATTTTTCTTAAATAATTGAATTCGTTTGGAAAATTTTATTAAAACCCTAAATATTAAAAATCATTGAATTGAGGAAAATTTTTGAAAATAATTGAATTTTTGCCAAGAATTTTATTAAAATTTTTGAAAATATTTGAATTTTGACGAAGAATTTATTATTTATTTTATTATTTATAAAGATAATTGACATTTTGAAGAAAATTTTTTTTTTTTAATTTTTGAACATAATTGCGAACATAAATAAAATAATAAATTATAAAAAAATACCTGAACTCTAGCCTCTGAGAGTGAAACTCTCGTTGCTAATTCCTCTCGAACGAAGGCGTCAGGATAGTGCGTTCTTTCAAAAACCCTCTCTAAAGCGGCCAATTGTTGGGCAGAAAATGTTGTTCGACTTCTTCTCGGTCTTCTACTTCCGGGCGCAGTCGGACTATCGCCGCAATCTTCAAAAAGGAAAACCACAAATCATTAACTAAATCCTATTAATCAAAATAAACGTTATTCCCAATTTTCAAAATTTTTCATTCAATTTTCAAAATTAGGAAAAACATTAAACCAAGTTCAACGATATTTGAATGATTAAATATTTACCTATTAATTAAATATTTAAATAATTGTCAATTTAAAAAAAAATCCAATTGCAACGAATTAATACTAAAAAACGTGGATCAAATAAAAAATTGAGCTACATTTTTGAAATAAATTTGATCCAATTTCGTATACCTAAAATTAATTTTAATTAATTTGATTTTTAATTAATTTGATACCAAAAATGTGGAGCAAATAAAAAATAGAGCTAAATTTTTGCTATCAATTTGATCCAAATTAGTATCAATTTGTTACCTGTCTGATTTAATACTTTCTAATTAAATATTTAAATGATATAATATATTTTTTAATAATTAAAAAGTAAATGATTTAATATTTTTTAAATATTAAAAATAAATTATTTTCCTATTTTTAATTTGAATTTTCAAATAATTCTTTTTCAATATATTCAACAATAAATAATCATTTAAAATATAAATGCATCAAAAAAATATTTTTCACAGCAGATAAAGCAGTGCTTGGGAAAAAAAAAATTGAGTCGGAAAAATCTTGAGGCAATCCTTGAATGACTCCTCTGTCTTTGACTTCTTTGTACTTGAAAGTTCAGCAAAGCGATATAATTCGAGCAGTATGACTTTATGCAAAATGAACAATTTTGATTATATCAAAAAATGACGCGAATCTTCTCAGACGAAAAAAAAAATCTTTCCTTTTTCAAATGCAAAAATGCAAAACTAGAAATTGAGAGCAAAAAAAAAAAAAAAAAAAAAATTTGCCGAATATAAAATATAAAAATTGTCAACTATATTTTAGAAATTTGTTTAGAAAATAATATCAATATTAAAAGTTCAATTAAAATAGAAACATGATGTAATTTATGTATATCTGAAAGTAACTTTATTCTGGCAGAAATTCAAATTTTAGATATTTGTTAATCATTTTATATATCAGTTTCATATAAATTTATAATATTATTTTCAATAATTTGCCAAGTGTTTGTCTTTCGCAAAATCAGACAAGAGGACAATTTTTATTTTTTCTCATAAATTTTTTATTTTATTATTTATTTTTTTATTCTACTTTTTTAATATTATTTTTACATATATATTCTGTTTATTTCGCAGTTTACTTTCTCTTTTATTTGTTAATTGAGAATTTTTTTCCAAACACGTGTCAACTTTAATCAACTAAAATGTGTCTAAAAATAGTAAAAAATTAAGTAATTTTTGTTCGTATCTTCTTTTTAAAAAAATTATCTTTAGACTTGATTTACTCTTCTCTAATGAATATATATACTATACATAGATAAGTTCTAAAAAATGATTCCGTTTTATTATTTGGAAATTATAAAATCAAATAATTAATATAAAATTCAATTTTTGACAATTTTATTTAAAATCAAATTCATCGCTTCATTTATTTTCATTTTCCCAAGCCTCTGATGCTTATCCGAGAAAAATATTTATATTTAATTTATATTTTTATTTCAACCTCTCTATATTTGAATCAATTAAATTTTTTACTGATTTGAATCAATGAATTAATTTTTGCTTTTGAGCCACTCTCTAAATTTAAATTTGTAGAAATATTTACAAAATTGAATTAGTGACTTACTTTTTGCTTTCAAATTATAGTAGATTTTGCTAATAAATAGCCATTTCTACTAATTTATTAAATTAACAAATTACTAATTAATAAAATAAAATTCTTTGCAAAAATTCAATTATTTCCATAATAAACCAAATTTTCTCCAGTATTTCAATTATATTCCAAAATAAAAAATTTTGAAATGAATTCCATTTTTTAAAATAAAATATTAATTAAATTCTACGCGGGAATTCAATTATTTTCATATAAATAATACAATTCATCAGAAGAATTCAATTATTTTCAAAAATATTAGTAAAATTCTTGGCAGAAATTCGATTATTTTCAATGCAATTTTAAAAGAATTTTTCAATAAATTCAATTATTATCTTTAAAAATAAAAAAGCTTCAAATAAATTCAATTTTTATTTAAATATAAAATGAATTTAATTCTACACAGAAATTCAATTTTCATAAATAACAAAATTTTACAGAAAAATTCAATTATTTTCAAAAATATTAATCAAAATCTTCACAATAATTTAATTATGTTTATAAATAAGAAAAATCTTCGCAGGAACTCAATTACTTTCATAAACAAGTTTCTCGACAAGATTCAATATTATTTTTAAAAATAATAGAATTTTTGTCAAGAATATCATTATTTATATAAAAATATAAAATATTCAAATTTTTGTCAAGAATTTTAATAAAATTCGTCGAAAGAATTGAAACATTTTCAAAAGTTTTATTAAAATTCTTGACAAAAGAATTTAAATAGTCACTCTCATTAAAAACAGAAAAAAATGTATTTCATTCAAATAATCGATTAATTGTCTATTATCAAATAAATATTTATTTACATAAAAAAAATATTTACTTGCATCAAATAATCTTGATTTCAAATATTTTCAATTTTAAAATTAATGTATTGAAAATCATCGAATTGTTGCAAAGAATTTTATCAAAAAATTTGAAAATAATAGAATTTCTTCAAAGAATTTTATTATTTAGGAAAAAAACTGAATTATCGCAAAGAATTTTATTAAAATTTTTAAAAATCCTAATTAAATTCTTTTGAAGAATTTCTTTGAATTTTTTTAACTAATGGAGTTTCTTTAATAATTTTAATTGAAAATTTTGAAAGCAATTGAATTTTATGAAGAAGAATTTTATTAAAATTGTATTGAAAATAACTTAATTCTTGCGAAGAATTTTACTATTTATAAAAATAATTGAATTGTTCCGAAGAGATTATTAAAATTTTTTAAAATAAATGAATTTTATGTTAATATTTGAAAATTTAAATTCTTTCGAGGAATTCTATTAACATTGTTTTGAAAAGAATTGAATTTCTCCAAAGGATTTTACTATTTATAAAAATAATTGAAATATTACGAAGAATTTTACTATTTATAAAAATAATTGAAATGTTTAGAAGAATTTATTAAAATTTCAAGCAAAAAAAAAAAAAATGAAATTATGAAGAATTTTATAGAAATATTTAAAAATAATGAAATTTTTTCGAGAAATTCAATTAAAGTTATTTCGAAAATAATTGAATTTCTTTAAAGAATTTTATAAAATTAAATATTCAAATTATAATTGAATTTCTCACAAGAATTTTATTATTTTTTGAAAATAATTGAATTCTTTCAATTTTTTTTTGACGAATATATATTTAAAAATTGCATTGAAAGTAATTTAATTTTTATATAGAATTTTTAAAAAATATTTTGAGAATAATTGAATTATTTTTTAGGGAATTTTAAATTCTTGTTGAAATTGAATTTTATGGAAATTTTTGAAAATAATTAAATTCTTTTGTGTAATTTTATTTAAATTAAATTAAAAATTATTAACTTAAAAAAAAAAATTTTTTTTGTATTTATAAAAATAGTTGAATTGTTTGGATGAATTTATTAAAATTTTAGGAAATAATTGAAATTTATGGAAATATTTAAAAAATATTTGAATTTTCCCGAGGAATTCAATTAAAATTGTTTTGAAAATCATTGAATTCCTGCAAAGAATTTTACTATTTATAAAATTAATTGAATTCTTGCGAAGAATTTTACTATTTATAAAAATAATTGAATTTTTTCAAAGGCTTTATTAAAATTGTTAAAAAATTGAATTTTTTCGTAATGTGTTAAAATTTTTTTAAAAAATGAATTCTTCTGAGGAATTTAATTAAAATTGTTTTTAAAAGAATTGAATTCCTGCAAAAAATTTAAATATTTATAAAAATAGTTGAATTGTTTCAAATAATTTATTAAAATTTTAGGAAATAATTGAAATTTATGAAAATATTTAAAAATATTTGAATTTTTTGTAAAGATTTTACTATTTAAAAAAATAATTGAATATTGTTTAGAATGATTTATTAAAATTTTAGAGAAAAATTGAATTTTTTCGTGAAATTGTATTAAAATTTTTGAAAATATGAACAGTAATAATTAATTTTGTACTTAATAAGTGGATTTTTTAAATTTTTATTATGAAATTATTTTAAAAATTTATATTTGAAATTTATTTGATTATAATTTGATTCAAATAACCGATTACTTGACGCTTATCAATTAAATATTTAATTGAATCAAATAATATTCATTGGAGTCAATTAAATGGTTCAATTCATATTTCCTTTAAATACTGAAATTATTGGTTCAAATATTAATTTAATTGACTCCAATAAATATTATTTGATTCAAGTAAATATTTCATTGCCACTATTAACTTAAAAGTATCAAAGTGCAACGTATTGATACTAAAAATGTGGATCAAATAAAAAATTGATCCAAATTTTTGGCATCAGTTTGATTCACTTTAGTATCAATTTGATACTTTTAAAAAAACTATATGTGATAGTAGTCAATTATTCGGTTATTTGAATAATTATATAAATATTATAAATATTATAAATAAATTATAATAATATTTCTAACATCGACTTAATGAATATATTCGAATTAAAAATAAATCAAGTACTTACCTACGGTTTGATTTGGTGTTGACAGTAATCGTGACACAGTGAAATCCTGAGGAGCATGTGAATTATGAACTTGCGACACAATCACGGAACTATTTGAATCCGAGTTTAACATTCTGTACTCGTATTTCTTCCTTTTCCCCCACACTTCTTCATATGTGCGAAAAAGAAAAGAAAAAGAAGAAGAAGCAGAAGAAGAAGAAAATTTCTCTCCTCGCAAAACTTAATCCACTTATTTTGCTATACCAAAATGAACCAAAAAAAAAATATATTTCACTTTAACATAGCGATGGTAAATTTTCAAATAAATCCTCAACGATATTTAAATATACACGTTATTAAAATTTTTGATCACAGTTGCATGATATCTCGAGTACCGCAGATAAATCTTGTGGGCGTAAATCAGTTTCAAGTTTTTAAGCGGCTTTTCATCAGCTCTAGATTATAAGCGCGCCTTTCGAATTATTAAAAAAAGTCGACGCACGCGTGCCACAGTCGCGGGAAAATTTTTTTTTTTTAATTCTCCCAACACATTTTGATATATATATATTAGAAAGTATCCGTAATTCCACTGTTTTCTTCTTTATAATTTACGAATTCGTACCGCGAATAAATTTTATAAATTTTATAAATTTTATAAAAAAAATCTTGAATATTAACCGGAAAAAAATTGAGGATGCGGGAAATTGTTATCACCCCGCCAATTAGGATTGAAATTGAATTAGATGACTTGTATATTTCACGGCTAATTGAATTACCCTCAAATTGCTGTTTAATTAGGCGAGAATGGTGTGGAGGACGAAAGAGAAAAGGGGAGGGAGAATGTGCATCGAAAGGAGTGAGAGAGAGAAAGAGTAAAAGAGAGTGAGAGAGAGAGAGAGAGAATTAAAAGTTATCTCTGAAAATGATTTCGCGTAACGTTTCTAGGACGGCAAGATGCCAACTGACTTTAGCGAGTTAAGATGTACTTAAAGTTCTCTTCTTGATTTCCCACTCGGCGAAGATACGAGAAATAGAGCGATTTTAAGAGTAGGTGGAGATTTTCTTACACAAGCTCCACCCTCATTAGACGCTTATTGGCCTCTTAACAAGCTTGATTCTTCGTTTCAAACACTTTCTCAAGGAGCTTTATTTGTTTTCTTTTTTTTTTCTTTCTTTTTTTGTTTTTTTTTTATCTCAAAATGCTGTCTTCACGCACTTGATGTATGTGTGATAAAACGTTTCAATGATTTCGAGTGCTTTTTGGAAAGAGAAGGTCCATAAGTTATGCGAATTCGGAGAATCAGAAACTATATTAATTTGACTATAAAGTTTTCAAAGTTCAAAAGAACGAAATATTTTTTGTTTTAGCAATTATAAAAATTATGATTTTTTGAAGCTCATAACTTTTATAATCACGGAGCAAAAATTTAAAAAAAAACATTTCATACACTGAATTTTAATGAACAAGACAACATTCTGCGCAGGAAAACAATAAATAAAGTAACTTTTACTATACTTTTATGGTAAAACAAACTGTCTATGAAAATTCGTCGCATTTCTGCTGCTTATACGCAACCTGGAAACCTAAAAAATCCAGGAAATGGCAGGGAATTTTGATCGAAATCCTAAAAAATTGTTGTTTTCTAAAGTTATTGTGTTTATTCTTGAAATCTAATTAATTTTTAGAATTCATAAGAAAATTCTGAATTTTAATGTATTTTTCCTGTTTGCCTCATAAACTAAGAAATTACCACGAATTCGAATACAAAACCTTTTATTTTTTCCATTTCTGACAATAATTTATTTTAAATAATTTAATTATCCTTAACAACTGTCATAAAGTTATTATTCTCAAATTATTTAATGAATAATTTTACTTGAATATTTCAAAATTAATTCAATTTTAAAAGTGTTGCGTTTACAATTTTAAATAAATAGATGAACATCAAAAAGTTTTAATATGAAATGTTAGAAAATTTCAATTTTCAATGAATTTAATTAGTAATTTTAAAGAATTTAGATTTTTGAAAAATAGAAAAAAAAACTCAACGTAAAATTACAATTTTAATCGAATTCAATAAATTATTATGAATAAAAATAAATGAATGAAAAATAAATTTAAATATAAATTTAATTTAAAAACAAGAAAATAATTAAATTTTTTTAGAAAAGTTATAAATGATAGCAGAAACTCAATTATTTTCAAAAATAATAAAATTCTTCGCAGAAATTCAATTATGTTCAAAAATTTAAAAAAATTCTCGTCAAAATTTCAATTATCTTTAAAAATAATAAAATTCTTCTCCACAATTTCAATTATTTTCAAAAATAATAAAATTCTTCTCTAAAATTCAATTATTTTCAAAAATAATAAAATTCTTCGCAGAAATTCAGTTATGTTTAAAAATTAAAAGAAATTCTCGTCAAAATTTCAATTATCTTTAAAAATAATAAAATTCGTCTCCAAAATTCAATTATTTTCAAAAATAATAAAATTCTTCAAATTAAAATTATATTCAAAAATTAAAAAAAAATTCTCGTCAATAATTCAGTTATTTTTAAACATAATAAAATTTTTCTCCAAAATTCAATTATTTTCAAAAATAATAAAATTTTTTGCAGAAATTCAATTATGTTCAAAAATTTAAAGAAATTATCGTTTAAATTTTAATTATTTGTAAAAATTTTCCTAAATTTAATGATTTTAATAAAATTTGGTAAAAGAATAATAAAATGTTTGCGTAGAATTTCGTTAAAATTTTTTTTAAATAATTATTTTTAAAAAATTTTAACAGAATTCCACGCAAACATTTAATTATTTTCATAAATATAAAAATTCCACTGGAATTCAATTATTTACAAATTTTTTATAAATTTCTTCGCAATAATTCAATTATTTTCATAAATTATAAAATTCTTTTTATGAATTCAATTATTTTCATATTAATATGAATAAAATTCTTTGCAAAATTTCAATCATTTTTAGTACAATTTTAAGAAAAATTAAATTATATTCAATAAATTATTTATTTTTATATTTAAATAATTGAATTCTAGTTGAATTTTCTAATAAAAATTGATTTAAAAATTACTTTTAGTTAAAATTTTAAATAATAATTGATATAAATTTCTCAAAAAAATGCAATTCTTTATAAATTTTTTTAAATTTTTCTAAAGAATTAAATTATTTTAGAAAATTTTAATAAAACTCTAGTCAAGAATTCAATTATATCTTCGTAAATAATTAAATTTTTTTTGGAAATTTAATTATTTTCATAAATAATAAAATTCTTTTTAGGAAATCAATTCTTTTCATAAATGAAAAACTCATCGCAGAATTCCAATTACTTTTTAATACAATTTTAATCCAATTTCTTCGAAAAATGTAATTATTCTTAAAAATTTTATTTGATTTCGTCAAAAGAATTTAATTATTTAAAAATTTGTTTATAAAATTCTTTCTGAGAATTCAATAAATTATTTATTTTTGTATTTAAATAATTGAATTTCGTACAATTTTCAAATTAAAATTTTTTAAAATCTGAATTTTTCATTCTTTTAACTAACAATTGTGTAGATTATTATTTTTATTATAAAAGTTTAATGGATTTCTTTTGAAATTATTTCAAGTTTTTATTTTCTAATTTATATTTAATTGAAGAATTTCGGAATATGATTTTATCACTGGGTCATCTTTAATTATTATAATTATTATTCTAACAATATTTTTAAAATTGTTAAATTTCAAAAAGGTTTGAATGTGAAATTTTTAAAAATTTTAATTCCTATGTCAAAATAATAATTGATGTTTTCGATTAATTTTACAATGACAGAAATTCTTAAATAAATGTAATAGATTTAATTTGGTAAATAATAAGTGTACTTGGTTTTAAAAAACATACTATGTATTGAATCAAAATTATTACGTTTATAATTCAAAAATAATTTTTTTGTTTCACTGTATAACAAGGATAATAATTATACTTGATTTCAAATATATTGTTTTCTCAGTGTAAATCAGTAGAAATTATTATTTATTATTAAAATTTACCAATTTAAAAGCAAAAAGTCAGACACTAATTTAAATTAGTAAATATTTTTACTAATTTCATAAAATAGAGAGGAATTAGCATTTTTTAAAACTAAAAATTAGTATTCACATATTATTTCAGGAGTAAAACTTTTTCTTTTATGTGAATTGGATGAAAATACATTTTAAAATAATTTTCGCCTAATGAGAAAAATATCAACTGTGAATAAATGTCAATCGTACCGGTATATTTATTTGCGATATTGGTTGTAAATCTTTTTTAATTCATGACCCCTGCTACGATTTTCCATTTAAGTATCATCGTACGTCTTATACATTTTTTTGTAACGCACAGAAACAAGGAGACTGAATAGAAAAACGACCCTTTTTATATAATATTATATAGTAACTGGGTACTACGTTTTTTATACCTTGGTTTAAAAAAAACTAAACGAAGGGATGATTCACACTGTCACTTATTCTATATAACTTTTTTTTTCTAAAAAGAAATTTTACGATTACCTTCCCTATTTTTCCACCCTACTATTTCGAAATAAAAAAAAAATTAGCAAATAAGCTCTATAATAATAAACTTTACAGTTGATATTATATTAATAACTGTATAATACAAAGTACTAAAAATATTAGGAAATTTCGTATTAAAAAATTAGGGAATTTTTGTAAACATTTTTTGTAAAATTTTTACATCGTTGAAGTTCACAACGTTTATGATCAACGATTAAAAAAAAACAATCCATTCTTTACCAAAACAATATGTTTTATATAAAAATTTTTTTTCTTCAAATTATTGATCAAAAAACTATGAAAAATATTTTTCTATACGAAAATATATAAAAATTTGAAGTTTTTACGTATCGGACTGTACTTATTGAGGGGATAATTACTTTGAATTTTTTTTCAATCGTATTTGCGGATAAATTCGAAGAATCGTCGGTGTTTTCTTTAGTGGGAAGAAAAGTATGATCTTTGCGAGATGAAGGTTGATTTTTGAAGCGAAATTAAAGAACCTTTATGACCTTTATTAAAGTTTTCGATATAGAAAGTAAAGGAGTCATTGTGAGAGTGTTATGGAGATGATACTTGACACCCCTGTGAAATAGGAGCCATGCCGATGAATAAAACACTATCCCAAATATCATTTTATACAAAAAAAGTATATAAATCGTCATAATAAAATTCTGCTTTACTTGGAAGAAAAGAATAAAAGTTTTTACTATACTTTTAGTAGTAAAACTTGTAATTTTTAGTTTTTGTGTAATTTTTTACTACTTACGAAAAAATAATTTTTATCCCCACCAAAGTGGTTAAATTTTAAATATTGGATAATAGTTTTGTGGAGAACAAATAAAATTTGTTGCAACGAATTCAAATTTATTTCTATCAATATTGTTCGCCTATTGAAGTCATTGACAATTCCTTTTATTTTCTTGATGGAGTAATTAGCAGATATTTTACCACATGAAATTAGTTGTTTTCTACTATTAAATTAGTTTTTCTAATAAAAATGAGTAGTTTTCTACTTAAAATTAATAAATTAGTGAACGCCTTACTATCACTTAAAAGTATCAAATTGCCACGAATTGATATACCAAAAATATGAATAAAATCAAAAATTATGATCCAAATTTTTGGTATTAATTTGACATCAATTTTACCATCAATTCACTTTAGTATCAATTTTTGACACTTCCAAGAAAAACGTACAGATGCAACAAATATCAAAGAATGAAAAAATAATTATTCTTTAATTGAACGATTTGGAAAAGGGATTAAAAATAATTCTTCATTCGTTTGAATATTATTTCCCTCGATTTTTGAAAAATGAATATGATTACATAAAAATGTGGTTTGCCTAGTGGCTTAAAGAGAACCCCAATTTATTTGATATCGTAAAAATCCTAGGGTGCGAAATAACTCAAGTCCCTTGATTCAGATTCTGGGTCCCTGCGGATCGAGAGGTCGAAGATGGACATAAATCATAAAAAAGAGAGAAAAAGAGAGAGAGAAATGTTTGTACTCGATAAAAAAAGAGGAGGAGGGGAGATAAAATTTTTTTTCCCGCCTAAACTACATTTTTCCTTTATATTAAATATATTTATTTAGCGTTCATATATGTATTTACAGATGACAATTTAACACACAACGGTTTTTTTGTCCCCGTGGGGGAGGTCCGACTTAAAACCGCGACCGTATGTCACTTTTACACGCGTCTCTTTTTTGTACCTTTACTGTATACCCTTTTCTGTA